GAGGACCTGGAGAAGGTCAAGAACTGGCAGAAGGACGCCTATCACAAACAGATCATGGGCGGCTTCAAGGAGACCAAGGAGGCTGAGGACGGCTTCCGCAAGGCCCAGAAGCCCTGGGCCAAGAAGATGAAGGAGGTGCCGGGGGTGGCTGCATGCTGGGCAGGATGGGCAGTGCCACGCAGGGCAGAGTGGTCAGAGCGTGCTGATGCCAGAAGGGAGTGTGCGCTGCCCTCCGAGGTGGTGCCCACCGCCTCCAGAAGGGAATAACCACGGAGAGGCAGCGCCCACTGGGTAAAAGGGACCCATAGGCACAAAGGGGCACTGTCCCCCGGAAAGACACCAGCAGGGACAGGAGGATCCCTCTGGTCCACAGGTGGGGCGGGCTCTGCCCTGCCTGACAGGAGGGTGTCTGTGCCCCAGTTGGAGTGGCATGGCTCCCAGACACCTAGAGCAGGCTGGTCCCTTCTGCCTCGTAAGGGTGTGCGTGGGGCTCCGGGAGGGGTGGGAACGGCCATGTTCCTGCTCACAGCGGGAGCCCTGGCCCCGGTCCCTCCTTCCCACAGTTGGAGGCAGCCAAGAAGGCCTACCACTTGGCCTGCAAAGAGGAAAAGCTGGCCATGACACGGGAGATGAACAGCAAGACGGAGCAGTCGGTCACCCCCGAGCAGCAGAAGAAGCTGCAGGACAAGGTGGACAAGTGCAAGCAGGACGTGCAGAAGGTGCCAGCCAGCCGGGTCGGGCGGCCGTGGAGGGGTGCGGTCTGAGGGGCCCCTGCAGGCCTGGGGCTCACCCTCCCTCCATGACCACAGACACAGGAGAAGTATGAGAAGGTGCTGGAAGATGTGGGCAAGACCACGCCCCAGTACATGGAGAGCATGGAGCAGGTGTTCGAGCAGTGCCAGCAGTTCGAGGAGAAGCGGCTGGTCTTCCTCAAGGAGGTGCTGCTGGACATCAAACGTCACCTCAACCTGGCCGAGAACAGCAGGTACCGGCCAGGCGGGCAGGAGGGCACAGGCACGACCAGCAGAGGGTGTGGCTGATGCGAGGGGTCCGGGGGGAAGAGGCGCCGGGGAGCGGCTGCCCGGGGCAAGCCCATATGAATAGCACTCAGGAGTCATGCTTGGACGGGTAGGTGTGGTGGCTAGGGTGGGGAGGGAGACGGGAGCCCCCCGGACTCGTGGGAGATGCTCCTTGGGAGCCCCGGTCCCCTGAATGGGGACCGTGTGATGCCATGGCAGGTCTTGTCCACACCGTCCATCTCCATGCACAGCTACATGCACGTGTACCGTGAGCTGGAGCAGGCCATCCGGGGGGCCGACGCGCAGGACGACCTCAGGTGGTTCCGCAGCACCAGCGGCCCCGGCATGCCCATGAACTGGCCCCAGTTTGAGGTGAGGCTGTGTGGGGCTGGGCAGGGGGCCCTGACAAGGCTGCAGGGGGCCCTGGGGTACAGCGCCCAACCTGACTGCCCCCCTGGCCCCATCAGGAGTGGAACCCAGACCTCCCTCACACCACCGCCAAGAAGGAGAAACAGCCCAAGAAGGCAGAGGGGGGCACGCTGCCCAACGCCACTGGGGCGATGGAGTCCACATCCCAGGCTGGGGACCGTGGCAGGTGAGCACTTCCAATGGAGCTTCCTGTGGCCCAGAGGGGCCCACACACTGGGGCAACTGAGTTTGACCTCAAGAGACCAGAAATGCTGTAGATCTTAGCAAGTGTGTCTCTGAAAGGTAGGGGCATTGATCCTTCCAGAATACCGGCTGTGTTGGGTACCACTCTAGTAGAAATTCTCCTTTAGGTTAACTCATTTAAACCTCCCAGCACGCTGGGAAGTGTGTAAATATTTCCATTTTACAGATGGGGAAGCTGAAACTCAGAGAGGTTAAGTAACTTGCCTGAGGTCACACAGCTAGTCAGTGAACCTCAGGGCTAATATGTGATGCCCAGGAAGCCTAGTTCCAGGATCCTCACTCCTACCCATTAGATGGTATTTCCCTCTCAGGTCAAGGGCAGGTGTTCTCTGGGGCCCTCCAGCCCTCTCTCAAGAGCTGAATAATAGCCCTGCATCGCATGTTTAAAGAGCCTGTGGAGGGTCACGACCTCTCCTATGCCACCAGTCCTGGCTCCAGCCTTGGTAGAATGTGGAGTCTGATGAGGAGGAGGGGCAGCCCAAGGGAGCAGGAGAGTCCATTCACGGGGGGTTCTCCCTCTGCGTCCCAGCGTTAGCAGCTACGACAGAGGCCAACCCTACGCCACCGAGTGGTCGGACGACGAGAGCGGGAACCCCTTTGGGGGCAATGAAGCCAACGGGGGCGCCAACCCCTTCGAGGATGACGCCAAAGGAGTGCGTGTGCGGGCGCTCTACGACTACGACGGCCAGGAGCAGGACGAGCTCAGCTTCAAGGCGGGTAGGGCGGGGAGGAGTCCGCGCACCTGCGGGGGCGGGGCCTGAGGGCGGGTCCTGAGCCTGGATTGGGCGTGGGGCGGGGTGGGGTGGAGCCGGAGCCGGAGACAGAAGTCCCAGGATTTGCGGGCTTGGACTGAGGGCGTGGCCAGGGCTCTGGGGCCACGGTTTCGATTGGGAGACAGAGGCAGGGCCTAAAGGTGGCAGGGGCGGAGTCAGAACCTGGGCCTGGGGTGGGCGGGGCTCCGGCGCGCGGGAGAGAGGGGCAGGGCTGGGACCAGTGAAAGGAAAATGGAGGCGGGGCCTGGGCCTGGGGGGCGGGATCGAGACCCAGATTAGGCGACGACTGAGGTGGCGACTTCTGTGCCAGGGCGGCACGTGGAAGTTGTAAGACGGCTGGTCCCCGGGGCCGGGGCCCGTGACCAGAATCCGAATCTTCAGCCCAAGTAAACAGCTGGGGCCGTGGGACAGTAATGGGAGAGGGTCCGTGGGGCTGGCCCAGCGCGATAGCGTTGGCGGGCTCGGCTAGCCCTGAGCGCGTGTGGAGGGAGGGCCACCTTCTTTCGGAGCTCCAGCAACGCGCTCCTCTGTGTCCCCCTTCGCAGGAGACGAGCTCACCAAGCTGGGCGAAGAAGATGAGCAGGGCTGGTGCCGCGGGCGGTGCCGCGGGCGGCTGGCCAGCGGGCAGCTGGGCCTCTACCCCGCCAACTACGTGGAGGCCATCTAGCTGCCCTGCCCCCCTCCCTCTCCCCCCTTGCCCACCGCCTTCCGTCCCTTCCCACTCTCGTCTCCTTCCCCTCGCCATAGAGTTCCAGACATATTTTCCGATCAAGCTTTTATTTTTTTAAAAGTCAAAACAGAACAAAACAAAAAATAGGAAGAGACAGAGCATTTGCAGGGCCACCTGGAGGCCAGGGTGGTGTGCTTGGGAATGAGGGCCCCAGGGTAGATGAGGGTATTAGGATTTTAGCCCAACATCACACCTGCTATCCAGATTCCACCAAAGAGTCTCCTGAGCCCCGAGGGAGGTCTCCTGGGCCCTTCCCCAGCCTCACTCCCCACTACCTAGCAGGTGCCAGCGCCAGCCCCTGTTCCCTGGGCCTACTTTCCCCACCTCTTCTGCCTCGCCTACCCTGCTCCCCTCCCAGCACCACCCTGCTTCTCAAAGCCTCCCTTCCAGACCTGGAGAAGGGGGGCTTCCCGATCTTCAGTCTTCCACTCTGCCCTAGGAAGTGCCCATCTTCCTCAGCCCCACCCCTTGGGACCAGTGGAGCTGCAGGAGGAATGGTCACCCTTCTTCCCCATAGAAATTTCCAGAGGCCCCTCAACTCCCCTAGACATTAAGAGGCATGAGCTGGAGGAAGCGACAGTGTCCCTGGGGCACAGTGCGAGAGGGATTAGCAGCCCCCAGCCCAGGCTATGTCCGCTCTCCCTATTCTGAGGGCCCAAAACCTTGTTTAAACCTTCCGGCCATCAGCACTTGGGGCAGGGGCTCTGTCTCAGAGCCATATAGCCCCCTAAACTTGTAGAGACCCCATCCTCTCTCCTGAGTCCTCTGGCATGGGGTGGGGGCCCCCTAACCAGGGCAAAGCCAGCAACAGTAGCAGCCTCCTCCCATTTCCTGGGGCGGAGGGCATCTTGCCCACCCAGCCTCCCTTCATGTCTGTCCCCAGAGGTAGACTCACTGCGACACCAGCCCCTGAGACCAGGCGCCTTGCCTGCATAGCTCGGCCCAGCAGCCGGAGACACTGGGGCCTTGGGAACCTCCAGCCTGGGGCCGTCAGGGCAGGCTGCCACAGTGCTGGCAGGAGGGAGGAGCCCGCCTTCAGGAACAGGCTAGTCACCACGTCTTTATTTTTCATCCCTCCCAGCCCCCAGAACAACAGTCCCCCTGCTGGCAGCGGTCTCCAAGCCTGGGTCACAGTTAAAAGACTTTGGGGGGCAGGAAGGGAGAAGGGCCTGCCCCCTGGTGTAAAGGCAGCGGTGCAGGGTGCTAGGCGCCAGCCTCTGCCACGGAAGGGGATGAGTGGGGAAGCAGACCAGGACCGGACCAGACCCCAGGAGCTGGGGGGATGGCTGGAGGGCTGGCTGGAGGAGAGGTCTCTCAGGGACTCCTGGGTGTAGACCTGGGAAGTCCTGTGGCACGGGTGAGGCTTGGTCACCACTGGTGCCACGTCTAGGCCTCTGGACTGCAGGCACCCTCCTCCTTCCCTCGTCACCTGGCCTCCTGGCCCTCCAGGTAAAGAGAGCCCCTGTGTCACCCCCACCCTGTGCTGGCACTCCCTGTTGCTTCTCCCAATACCCCACGGTCAGGAGGTGGTGCACCCCAGCTTCAAGGCTCTGACCTCCTCCGTGGGCACTGAGGATCCTGACAGACTGGCAGGGGCCTGAGCTGGGGCAGGCCTCCCTCAGGGCCAGGGCAATGGCGCCCAGGGATAGGCACCCCCTCCTGCTGCCAGCACCCCCTTCCTTATCACAGTCTGATCTCCGGGCCTCTGCTGCAGCCTGAGATGTGTGCTGGCCCCTCAGAGCCCAGGGCAAGATTGCAGAAGCCTGCAGTTCCCCCAACTCCAGAATAAAAGCTCTCTGGTCATTCTCCCAGGCCGGAGTTGGGGGCCTCTGCCCCTCACTGCTTGTTCTGGAAAGGCAGGAAGCCGGTACATCTACACTCTGGGGCCTGGGCTCCCCCTCTCTGTGCCAGCAGCTTCCTAGCACCTGAAGAGGGCTTGCAGCCCTGGCTGGACCCCAGGCCTGTTCCCTCTGCACTGTAGCTGCCCACTCCAGGGCAGGGACTCGAAATCCCAACCCTGCTGAGCAACCACCTCCACGGTCCCATCAGGGACCACGCTCTCTCAGTCCCAGGCTCCTCAAGACCTAGGAATGGGAGGGTCTCCCACCTGGAAGCCCCCCGAACTCCGGGGCCCAGGCCCACCTGTCAGTGCTGGTGTCAGGGCACTCAACACCGCGCGTGCCCACGACCTCCTCCTGTAGCCCCCGCCCACACCCTCGATGCTGCACGGGCCCTGGCGGGGCTCGGCGACTCGTGTTTGTCCCGTTAACCACCACTCCGCGGCCTGGTACTGCGGGGAGCCCGGGCCGCCCCGCCCGCCACCCTCGGCTTCCTGCCTCCATTCGTTCCGACACTTGTGAAACTCCGAGAAGTGCTGTGGTCTCAGCAATGCACCTGTTTTGTACATGGTTGTGTAATTTAAAGGTATATATAAATACAGATATATATATATATGAGCTGTGATCGTATGACTGTGGATAAAATCCAGAACTGTCAACCTGGCTGGACGTGGTCACCTTGAGTAGTCTCCTGCGTCTTCTGTCCTGGGGTTTCTGGGCCTCTGGGGTACATTGTCATTGGGGTGTCCATCGGGAGGTGGTGTCTCAGCAGGGCTGGGTGCTGTCCTGGCTGACTGTCGACAGGCTGGGAGACAGGGCAGGTCTCTTCACCGTCCGGGGTCCCAGTTCGCTTCTGTGCAGGGGAGGATTACAGCGGGGTCGCCCGAGGCTCCAGCCTTCTCCCACCCTGGGTTTCCACTAACGCACTGGCCAGGAAAGCTGAGGCACTCAGGGCTCCCAACTCACGGCTCAGGCATGAATTTGGCCTCTACATAGGTTTTTACTTATTTATTTAATTTGCTGTAGGGCTCATGTGCTAGCCTGAGAGAAACTGAAATCACCCCCAGGGATGGGGGGGACTGGCTGGCTGCCATCCCTTCTCCTCCGGTCTCCTCTTGGGGTTTTGGGCATGCACGCACACCCAGTGTGTTTTTTAAACCACTGGGTCTGCGGCTTGACTTGCACAATTCATTCCACCTGGATGGCCCAGGTTTTCATTTTTAAAATGTATTTCTTCCATGAGCGAGAGAAGCAGCTGCCCCACCAGGCCACGAGCTGCCCCACCTCAGTCACAGGTGTGTCCCCGCAGGGCCGGCATGCCCAGGGGCTCCTCCACCTACACCTCTCCTGGGTCGCCCTCTGGCCCCAGGCTTTCACTTAGAAACCTTCATTCCGATGTGACACCAAGGCCTACGATTCCTGGTTGTCCAAGCCCCAGGCTCCGTGTCGTGCGAGTGTCTCGTGCCCCACTTGGGCATTTCTGGGTGGGGGACTCCTCCAGAATGATTTCTCAGGGCAGGACCAAAGCTCTGGGCTCTTGACTGTGGTCTGCCAGGCCTAGGTCCTGCCCCAGCTATACCCTAGCCCCAGCCAGAGCCCTCCCAGGGCAGGGCAGGAGTGCCATCAGCACGTGGTGTTTCCCCGAGCCCCAGGCTTCTGCCTCCCCCAGGCCGGTGAGGAGTCTCTCAGTCCTCTCTGGCCCTGGCAGCCTGACAGGCCTGGCAAGCGCCTCACTCCAGGTAATACCGCAGCACGCGGCCTGCTCCCCGCCCCTGCACCTTCCTCCAGGCCCAGAGTGTGTGCAGGGCAGGGAGAAAAGGCCAAGATGGGTATTGAATAGCTTTGCCACCCAGGCCCAGCACTCCCCCAAATCGACCTCCATTTGAAACCCGGGTGTCAGCCAATCAGGAGTCTTTAATTAACCAAAAGGTTGTGCAACCAGCAGATGGTGTAATGGTTATGTCACTGGACCCCCACATAGTCAACCCTGGTTCAAGTCCTGAACCCGGCGGCTTAAAACTCACACCGGGCACATGTGTGCGTGCCCCAAATCCTGAGAGGAGGATGGAGCAGAAGCGATTGCAGTGTGGCCATCTCCCCGGGGGGGGTGGGGTGATTTCTCGCTTTGTCTCTCTGGAGAGCGCACGCACCCTCTCTAAAAACACACACACAAAAACAAAAAACAAACACAAGTTTGTGTTGTCTGATCTGTACCAGCTGTTCCGGGTAGCTACAGGGAGCCCTGGAGGCGGGGTTCCGTGGAGATGGGCAGATACTAGGCCAGGTGGGGTTCCAGCAGGAGGTGTAGAGGAAAGGTCACTGCCTCCTTCAAGGTGTCAGGATGGCCGTGTGCCAGCCAGGGGTCTGAGCACAAGGAGCTGCCCAATCAACCCCCCTCTCCCTCCTGCCCTGGAGCCGTTCCAGCTCCCCACTCCACCTACGCCCGCACTCAGCTTTCTCCCCAGCCCCGGCCCAAGATCCGAGGCCTCTGCAGGCCTGGGCCCAGATGGGGAGGGAAGAGCAGGTGGCTCCAGGAACTTGGCTGGGGGCAGGATGGACTGGCTGGGGACAAAACCAGTTGAGCAAAGCTGAGTTTGGTTCTGGCCAGGGTCCCAGCCCAGCCTCTCCTGGGGGTGGGAGACAGCAGGGGCCAGCGAGGCACAGCCTGGGGCAAGGCCCTCCTCCAGGTCCGACCCCAGGCTGGCAGATGCCAAGCTGCTGTTTGCTCACTGGCAGAGGTAAACTTTCTTCTGCAGACAGTGGCATGGCTGGGGGCAGAAGGCAGCCGGCCAGGCAGCATTTAACCCTTGGTGGTCTGGTGGTGCAGGAGCCCCTTCCTGCTGGAAGCCTGGTCTCAGATGCTAAGGGTTATGGAGCTCCGAGGGCGCTGACCAGTCAC